CGGGCGGCCCAGGGCGGCCCCGCCGGGGAGCGCTGCCGGCCCTCCGGGCAAAAATAAACCCAACCGCCGCCGGCTTTTGGTGTCGGCCGTGGGTTTTAGCGGACGAGGCAGTTTTCACTCAGCGCTCCCCGTTCTCGTGTGGAATAACCGTCAGGATTGACCCCGCTCCGCTGTGGGGGCCGCTAAAACTGAGGCGGCGTCGAACGCTTTGGGGGCCTTGGGGTGCGGAAGGCTCGGGACTCACCAAAAAAAGCGGTTTCTCAGTGTGAAGCAAATCCCCGATAGAAATAACTTTCCGTCTCCAGCTCAGCTGGTGCCACCGCCGAAGTGGGCGAGCTCCCAGGAGCGCCGCTCCGAACGCCGCTTCCCTACGACATGTTCTTGGTTTTTTTGTTAGGCCCTGCCGGGAAGCTGAGAGTTAGAGGAGAGAGCGAGCTGGGTCACCAGACAGGGCTCCAAAATACCACAGTAAAGAAATAGTGATGTTAAGAATAAATAAAAAAAAATTAAAGACGTTGCGGAGCCTTTCCTGGACAACTGGCTGAGTTTCAGAGCTATCCCTTTTTCTCCTGCCGAGTGAACAATCCGTATGTTACTTGCATTAGCTGTAAGAGGGGGGATTTTATCATTCCGTAGCTTCGCTAGCGTTCCGTAGTTTTCCTAGCGTAAAACAGGTATCCTTAGATGGAGAGTTTTCTACGGCTGAAAAATACTATTTTTAGTAATCTGTAAGATACCCAGAGCACTACTGTCCAGCCTATTTTAATCGAGAATTCAAGGAATTTATCTGGAGCTTTTATTCCAAGTGTAAATGAAATGCCTTTATTCACAGCAGTTTCCAAATCTGTGTGGTTTATGGGCAGCTTAGGCCCGTAGTCCTGCATTAATGCCCATGCTGTAACAGAAACCAATGCAAAAATGCTTTTCTCCACTCGGTGGTGCCAGCTGCACAGGGAAAACATTTTCCAGCACCGGACCTGTGCAGCTCAAACTGTTGCGCAATTATGCTTATACGGACATAACCCCCAAAGCTGTAGCAATTCGAAATCGATTAAAACGTTTAGTTGCCTGCAGTATCCCTACAAGACAATATTTTTTCAAGGTGATTTCCTGGGTGCTTTGGAAGTAAAGCGCTTGACTAGGCTTACATATACTCATGTATCTCCTTTGATAACCAAGCTGCTCCCTGTACAGCACCATTTGCACAGGAACTTGGGGTCCTGGGGGAACGGGGCAGGTAGCCAGCTGCCTGGGTGAAGTTTTGAATAAGCACCCCAGAGGGAGAGGTTTGCTAACCTACTTCTCAAAGAGCCCCAAATCCCTCAATACTAACAATGCATCTTGTCAGGGAGCTGTGTTTGCCATGTCAAGATAAGGAAGGAAACTAGCATGTGACTGCAGAGAGTGAGTTTGATTGTTATCTGGTATTGCAGCCCGATCCAATATGTTTTTCAAAAGGTCTCTCCAAATGCTAGGGAGCGAACAGTAGAAGGAGGCAGATTGTTAGAAAGCCCAGGCAAAACCGGGATAGCAGAAGAGCTGGGCTCGGGACCTAGCCATCTAATGTTCTGAGACGTCTCTAAATGCCTCAGCCGTGGCATCCTTGTCCTACACTGCCTTGGCCTGCAATAACCTCTGTGATTTCGTCCCACCTTATCCTGACACTCCCATTCAGTTGTTTCAGATTGGGATTTATTTCACACCAGGGTTTTGCATGAGTCAGAATCTGAGCAAGGATGTCAGGGTTTGGTCCCGAACTTTGTTTACTTTCTCCATGCATTACATACTCCATACATACTTTGTTTACTTTCTCCATACATTACTTACTTCGGCATGAATTGGTTACTGAGGAACTGTTGGCCTCTCACGAAGTACACAGACTCAGGACTAACCACTTCTCCAAGACATCATCTTACAAGAATGGCTTGGGGAAGAGTGGCTGGAAAGCTGCCTGGTGGAGAAGGACCTGGGGGTGCTGGTCAAGAGCCGGCTGAATATGAGCCAGCAGTGTGCCCAGGTGGCCAAGGCCAACAGCATCCTGGCCTGTATCAGAGATAGTGTGGCCAGCAGGAGCAGGGAGGTGATCGTCCCCCTGTACTGGGCACTGGTGAGGCCGCACCTCGAGTCCTGTGTTCAGTTTTGGGCCCCTCACTGCAGGAAAGACATGGAGGTGCTGGAGCGTGTCCAGAGAAGGGCAACCAAGTTGGTGAAGGGCCTGGAGCACAAGTCTTGTGAGGAGCGGCTGAGGGAACTGGGGTTGTTTAGTCTGGAGGCCGAGGGGAGACCTGATCGCTGTCTACAACTACCTGAAAGGAGGAGGTGGGTGCTGGTCTCTTCTGTCAGGTGGCTGGAGATAGGACGAGAGGAAATGGCCTCAAGTTGCGCCAGGGGAGGTTTAGATTGGATCTTAGGGAATATTTCTTTACTGAAAGGGTTCTCAGTCATTGGAACAGGTTGCCCGGGGAAGTGGTTGAGTCACCATCCCTGGAGGTATTCAAAAGACGTGTAGATGTGGCGCTTAGGGACATGGCTTAGTGGTGGAGTTGGCAGTGTTAGGTTTATGGTTGGACTTGATGATCTTAAGGGTCTTTTCCAACCTAAATGATTCTATGATTCTAAGAATTGGAAGCAGTGTAAGGTCAGAGTGGATAATAGAGAGGAAAGCCTCTCACCTCTTTCAGCTATAGCAAATGCCAAATACTACAACTTTTGCTGATTTTCCCTGACTGCCATCAGTGTTGTGTAAGATGCTGTCAGGTAGGAGCTGCATTAACTAGGAGATCCTGAGCCACCGTGGAAGCACAGTGTCCTCCCTCCTAGCTGCCTTCTCCGCGAAGACTGTGCAAGTCAGATATGATTTGAGTCCTGTAGGATGACAAAGTCTTCTGAGAAAGGGAAATGCTTGGGTAGGTGTTTATGTAGTTATGCTGCTATTGCAAATTCCTATTTCTGGAGTGTGAACTTATGTTCACATTTGGAAGGACTTGATGGATCACCAGAATTTTTGCACAATGTTATGTGTGGAGACTGAAAACTTTCAGGGTGCTGTTGTGTGACAGAATTTGGTTTCTTTCCTCTCTGAGACAGTTTTTGAGACACTTGCTCTGTAGAAACTGAGCATGGGTGTTCGACTGGGCTTCTCCAGAAAAGAGACTCTGCTGACTACTGTTTGTGGCCACTCTTTTGGGTTTGTGTGGTGGGGTTTTGGTAGCTGGGTAGGGGCTGCAGGGCCGGCTCCTGGGAGAAGCTGCTCGAAGCTCCCCCAGCCCCAAGCCAGACCCGCTGCTGGCCCAGGCC